AACTTGTGTGAGGTCACAAAATCGGTTGGTGTCACAGCTAGAAGAACTAGAGCACAGGAATTTTGAAACCTAAGCCTGTGTTTTCTTGGCAGAAAGTGTCTCGGGTACTGTTTGATCTACCCAGAGTTCATGTGGAGATTTGTGGCTACAATATAGCTGGAGAATACCAATCAGGCATGCCCAAAGAGCTCTACAGAAAGGAGATTGTTTCTCTTAGACCAGGCCTGTGTTAGAAAAGCGGGGGAGAGAATGCAGTCAGTTGTTTTAGACAATGCAAATTACAAACAAACAAAAACACTTTGTAATCAGTTTCTAGATATTTGGGGGGCTATTCATTCATTAATTTGTGTATTTACTTTTAAAGTATCTATTAAGTGTCTTTATATAAGAGACTGTGCTTAGCACTTTTGGGAAGGTACAAAGGAATGCATTTAATTTGGGGGGTTTGCTTTGAATTATACAGATAATTGCCATTATAGCCATTGGCCATTACCACCTGGTAGAGGAAATAAAATGCCTCCCTTGCAGAAGAGCAAGACAATCAAAAACAAATGAAGAAACTGGGCGATTAATTTCCTTCAATTTTCTTCCTATAGGAGGCTTCTTTTTTTTTTTTTAAATCAAGGTGATAAAATTGTCCTGTGAGGTACACAAAACACAAAATTTGCTGTGTCATCTAATATAACACAGACTTTAACTGTAACACCTCCTTGAAACTAGGGAGAGTGGTCTTAGGTTAGTGCCAGGTTCCTTATCAGGGATGCCAGATCAGGATTTAAGAGAAAAATGTTAGCATCCAGTCCAAAAAGTAACTTCCAAAAAGTTACTCTACAATACTTTTCCCTGCCGGACTCCAAAATGAACTTTCCCTCTTGGCAGGCATGCTGAAGGATGTAGACAAAAGGGATCAGAGGCAACAACGGGCATAAGAAAACTGACAAAAGTTGAAGGCCCTGTCATTCCGTGGAACCTAAGCAAGAGTTTGCTAGTGCATGTCGTAAGATTCCTTGGAGGTCACTTAAAAAGGAAAAAAGGAAATAAAAGAAACATTTCCCTGGACAAATTTCTTTGCTTCCTAGCATAAACACCTCCAAACCAGAAGGCAAAATGTATGCTAATATTTACATACATTATAAGTACTTGCTTGATGTATTTCTTTAGTTTATGCTATATATACACAAATAGTGTCATTGACTGAAACCACTTTTTTTGTTGTTGCTGTGACAGGTCTTGCTCAGTTCCCAATGGGGGTATGTCCTGTTGTTTATTTGCCTTGTGTGTGCCTGTGAAAAGTGAAGACTCAGAGTTAACCTCACCTCTGTCTCTACTCTGTCCCCATTTTGCTTCTCTGTGTGTCCAGTTTTTCCACTTGTGATATTACAGGTTAGAGTCAGTGAACTCTAAACTCTATTTTGACCATATCATCTGATGATGCTCCAGTTTTTAAATGTTTTTGTTGCTATTAAACATACATTATGTATTCCAGTCGATCAATATCCTAAGCGATCTAGTAGGATCCTGCTTCAGGAAAATTTATCCTAAGTCAAATAAAATTAAGTTTATTCCTGAATAATGATAAATAACAAACCTGGTTATACATTTAGAATATTTATTTTTAATCCAACTTTTCAGAAAAAGTAATTTAGAGTGAGGCCTACATGCATTAAATAACAAAAATATAAACATATAAATGTCATAAAAGCATAGTATTTTGGAATGCTAAAGGAAAATTTCAATCCATTGTCCTCATTTTACAAAATAGGAAACTATGGAACAAAAAAGCTTTACTTGTTTAGGCTCACACAAGTGGTTAAAAAGGCTGTGCAAAGAAAACCAACTGCAGAACATTTTCTGTATTTTTCTCTATTCATATTAAGACCACACCTCTTCATTTACCTATGAAGAAAAAAAATCACTGACCAGTGCTTAAATCAAGGAATACTATTAAAAATAACATTTAAAGTTATAATGTAGTCTCTTGAGTTCCTCATGTGTGGACATATCACATTTTAACAGTTTAAGTAGAATATTTGCTTGCATTTAAAGTTAATCTGCTTATGAGTTAAATTTTGCTGACTTCTGGATTGTCACTGAAATAGCATAGTACTCTGCTATTATTCTCTAAAATTATTTTAGATGTTATATATTTTTGGTTTTTCTATAAATAACATTGTGATTTTTATAACATCCGAACAGATTAGCCTCTGTCAATAATATATTTCCTAATACTGATACTCACTGAAATCCCAGGTATGCTTGTATTAGTAGGACCTGACTCCATTGCTCCCAGTCACATAAATGAGTTTTATTATTCTTTTCACATTCTTGTATTAAAAACTACATAACTCCCCTTTATTATAACGTCCGTTTTGGTGCAATGATTGAAGATTAAATATCAGCACAAAATACGAATCGGTTTCAAGGCACACGGCTTTATTTTTGCATGGACGCCAATGCTTGAAGTTATCAGGGCTGTTTAAAACCAGTGCCTCTGGCATTTATTTCATTGACTCACACTAAATCGGTCCCTCCATCACCCAGTTAATTTTAACCTTGAACTCCCACAGCTGTACTGCTTTACTCAGCCCCAAAAAACTCCCTGCTTCCACCCTTTCTGCTTCGTAAGAAGCAATAGCAGGGAGGAAAAACCAAACCCAGTCCTTTAAGAAGGATTCCGCCTCCCCTCTTATAAGCAAGCGCCGCATGCTAATCGTGGAGTCTCCACGAAGTCACACACTTTACTACTCAGCCTTGGGAGAAGCTGCTGCTGCTGCTGCTGCTGCTGCTGCTGGCTGCTGGCTGCTGCTCGCGGCTGCCGCTCCGCCGCGGGCCGAGGCTGCAGGGGTTTCTGTGCAGCACTGCAGACTCCACACCTAGAAGCCTCGCGTCTACTGCCCTGCGCGCAGGGGAGCCTTGGATCCTCAGCAGGTAAGCAAGATCTTTTCTCCATTTTGCCCAGAAACAGTGCGAAAGGGAAGGATCATGGAAAAAATCGCTCATCAGACATGCTTAGAATGGGCTGTGTTAATTTGCCTTCCTTTGATTGGGGG